AAAGAAAAAAGGACGAAGAAAAGAAATGATGATGGTGATGATGATGAGGAGGAGGAGGAGGAGGGAGGGGGGAGGGTAAGGAAGCTATAAATCAGCTGGAGGAGGAAAAAAGAAGAGGAGGAGGAGGCTGAAGAGGAGGATGAGGAGGAGGAGGAAGAGGAGGAGGAGAAGGATGAGGAGGAGAAGCAGCAACAGGAAGAATAGGAGGATGAAGAGGAGGATGAGGGGGAGGAGGAGGAGGAGAAAAAAAAGCAGAAGAAGAAGAAGAAGAAGAAGGAGATAGGGAAGGAGGAGGTAGAGGAGGTGAAGAAGGAGGAGGGTAAAAATGAGGAGAAGGAGGAAGCAGAATAGGAGGAGGAGTAACAGTGAAGCACTCACCACTGCTGCTGCCAAATCTCACCGACCGTCCTCCCCTTCTCTTCATCTTCGCCTTCTTTGTCCTTCTTTTCGCGACTATGTCCCCACAGCTCACCATCCTCACCTGTGCTCAGCTTCCACAGGTAGCTTATTACAGGTTACTCCCACAGGTAGCTAGATGTTCCCACAGGTAGCTGATTACAGGTATGCAATCACAGACGGTGACAGGTAGCTAGATGTTTAACCAGGTAGCTGATTACAGGTATGCAATCACAGGTAGCTATATGTTCACACAGGTAGCTGATTACAGGTATGCAATCACAGGTAGCTATATGTTCACACAGGTAGCTAGATGTTTACACATGTAGCTAGATTACAGGGAAGTGATCCCAGGTAACTTCCACAGGTAGTCAGTCAGCTGTTCACAGAGATACCTACGACAGGTAGCTAAATACAGGTAGCTAGCGCAGGTGTATCTGATTACAGGTAGCTAACACGGGTAGCTGAATGACGGCCACAACTGCCACAGGTAGACCTGTGCTTGACGCCCGCTCTCCCTACGATGCAAGGAGAAACAACGTGACTCATCCACCTCTCGACTAATCCACCAGGTTTCACCAGCCGAGGAGGGGACGAACTCGAGTGGCAGACGCCTGCTTCCCATTGGTCGCCTGCCCCGATGACGGGCACGCGTGCTGGAGGTCCCTGCTCGCGTCGCACTTCCTCGTCGCGTGCGTCGTCGTCGTCGTTGTCAACAAACACACGTGAGGGGTGTTCCGCGTAAGGTAAACATGTAAACATGCGGAGCGATGATCGGAGGCGGGGCGTAACGTAAACAAGTAAACAAAGCGAGGATGTTAATTAGATGGCTCCCTCTAATTAATTAGCATTAATTACGGATTCGCGACGGAGATCGGGGGGGGGGCGGGTGTTAACAGAGAGGATGCGACGAGGGTGGCGGAGTGTAAACACGTAAACAAACAACAGCAGTGGGGCGTAAACACGGGTCGCGTCTGCTGGAGCGATAGTCTGTCAATTATAGTGAACGGCCGTCGCCGTACGCGCGCCGGTAACCATGGTGATGCGTCTGTCGCTTTATCTCTCTCTCTCTCTCTCTCTCTTCTGTCTCTCTCTTTCTTTCTTCTTCTCTCTCTCTCTCTTTCTTCACTCTCTCTTCTATTCTCTCTCTCTCTCTCTCTCTCTCTTTTCATTCGGAGATCCTGCGCCGGCTGTCGCTCTCCTCTCCTCTCTCTCTCTTCTCTCTCTCTTTTCCTTTCTCTCTCCTCTCTCTCGTCATCTCGTCCTTCTCTCTCTTCTCTCTTCGCTCGCTCTCGTCCTCTTTCTGTTCTGTCTCGCTCTTCTCTCTCTCTTTCCTTTCCTGTCGTCTCTCTCTCTCTCCTCTCTCTCTCTTTTTTTTCTGTCTGCTTTCTCTCTCTTTTCTCTCTCTCTCGCTCCTCTCCCTCTTTCTCTCTCTCTCTGCTCGTCTCTCTCGTCTCTCTCTCTCTCTCGTCTTCTCTCTCTCTTCTCGCGCGCGGCTCTGTCGCTCTCTCCCCCAATTTTCTCTCTCTCAGTCTCTCTTCTCTCGTCTTCGCGCTCTCGCGGGTGTTCGGTGTCCGGTGGGTCTCTCAGTCTGGCTCGAAGTCTCTCTCTCTCTCTCGTCTCTCTCTCTCTCCGTCTCTCTCTGCTGTCCGTGCGTGTATCTCTCGCGCGTTGTCTCCTCTCATCCTCCACCTGCGGTGAGCATACCAGACTTAGGCATCTGTGGATATCTCGAACATGTAAATATGGTGGTGGTATACTTTACAAACTAACACACGACTCGTGTGCGTGATCGAGACCACCATGTCAGGACATGGTTCTGTGGTGGGCTACAACACATCACACACCAGCACGACACACATCACACAGCCACACGACACACACACACAACACACACCCAGCACCACACACACACACACACCATCACACCCACACGACACACATGACACACACACACACACACAGCAGCACACAGCACAGCACACACCACGCACACGCACACAGCACACACAACATCACACACAGAACGACACACATGCATAGCACGCAGGACACACAGCACACAACACACACAGCACACACACACACACAGACACCAGCACACAGCGACACCCACACGCACACGACACACAACACACACACACACACGACAGCGACACACACTCGGAGAGCTCGCCACACACACACAGCCGCGGGTCTGGCGGAGTGTGTGCGAGTTGTTGAAACCGAGGGACGTGTATAGTGTTGCGGCTACTAATGGATGCTTTGGTTGCCCGCACACACAGGCGACCGGGTGTGGGGTTCTCGGTGGTTGAGGGTGCAGCGCCTACACCCACCTGCTGCTACATACTTGACGAAGTACGGGCGTGCGTTAAGCGTACTGCTGTGGGTGCCAGCCCTGGCGTCTCCCAAGGTAAGTAAACACACACGCACGCGCACACATACACGCGGGGATCATACACAACACACACCACGCCCGCGCGCGCACACACACCACACACAGACTCCACACAGCAGCACACGACACACGCGCGAGCGACACACACACGAGCCGGTGGCACGCGCACACACACACCAGGCACACACGCGCGCACACGCACGGTCAGCGGGTCACCACCGTACGTAACCTCAGTTCAAAATCTGTAGTATCATGTCAACCCTCTCACCGGCTCTAGACTGACACCCGTAAGGCTTCTCTCCTTTATGCATGTCGCGCAGACGACGGGGGACGTTTGTGAGTCAGTCTAAGGTCATAGTGGAGGGGGGTAGAGATGAAGGGGTTAAGAAGAGAATAGGAGATTAAGACGATAGGGCAGGAAAGTATTGAAGAGGGAAAAAGAGGAGAAATGGTAGCGGAGGGAGGCGCCGGGCGGACGCGAGAGCGATGAGGATGAGAGATGAGGAGAGGGAGAGAGAGACAGGAGAGGGGAGAAGGGTGAGGGAGAGAAGACGGGGGGACGGGAAGTGGGGATGTGAAGAGGAGAGAGACTGCCGAAAGAGAGAGAGAGAGAGGCGGAGGGACGGCCGGAGGAGAGAGAGGAGGAGAGAGAGCGAGGAGCGGAGGAGATGAGAGGATGACGAGGGGAGAGAGAGAGAGAGAGAGAGGAGAGAGAGCACGGAGGATAGAGAGGGAAGAGAGCTGTGAGGAGCGAGAGAGGAGAGAGAAGAGAGAGCGGAAGAGCGAGGAGGAGAAGGGGAGAGAGCAATAGAATGCGTGTGAACAACTCGCCACAGTGGGGTTGCTTGCGCACTATCTCACGCTAACAGTTCGGCCACATAATACATACATACATTGCTCTACATAGTTATGGTGTGATTATTTTATTTGGCGTCTGCGCCTGTTCAAAACTTTCATCATCTCTCGCCGCACCATAACAGTGGAAAAAAGTGCGAATTCTCTACTCTGAGAGTCATATCTGGTTGGATCGCCACTCAGAGTGAGTAGTGCACATATACGAGGATGGAGGGCGAGGAGGGGCAGACGAGAGGAGACGGGGGCGCGGAACGAGAGAAGACACAGGAGAGAGAGGCACGAGAGAGGAGGAGAGAGAGAGGGGAGGAGAGGGTTAGAGGAGGGGAGAGTGAGAGAGAGGCGAGAGAGACGAGTACGAGAGAGAGAGAGAGAGATGAAAAACGTAAAAAAAAAAAAAAAAAAAAATAAAAAAAATAAAAAAAAAAAAAACATGAATAACAAAAAAAAAATGGAACCAGTGGGGAGAGGGTAGGGAGAGAGAGTGAACATGAGAGAAAAGAAACCGATAGATACAGAGAGGAAAAAGGAGGGACAGATACAGGTAAGCGCATATATCTTCACGGTCAATGCAGTACTGCACCGTTTATGTTTACAATCTCTCTCTCTCCCTTATCTCTCTCTCTTTCTCTCTCTCTCTCTCTCTCTCTCTCTCTTTCATCTCTCTCTCTGCTCTCTCTCTCTCTCTCTCTTTTGCTCTCTCTCTCGTCTCTTTCTCTCTCTTCTCACTCTCTCTCTTCTCTCTCATCCCGTTTATCTTCTTCTCGCTACTACGCGAGGCTCTCTCTCTCTCTTCTCTTTCTTCTCTCTCTCTCTCTTGTCTCTCGCTCTCTCTCTCGCTCTTCTCTCGTCTCTCTCTCTCTCTTCTCTCTCTCTCTCTCTCTCCCTCCCACTCGATCTCCCCCTCCACTCTATCTCTCTCTCCCTTTTATCTCTCTCTCTCTCTCTCTCTCTCTCTCTCTCTCTCTTCTCTCGCTCTCTCCCTCCCTCCACCTCTTTATTCTCTCCCTCCCACACTCTTATCTCTCTCTTCCATCTCTCTCTTCTATCTCTCTCCTCTCCTCTCTCGCTCTCTCTTCGTCTCTCTCTCCGCTCCCTCGGGTCCCACGGCTATCTTCTCGCCCTCCCACTTCTATCTTCTCTCCATGTGCCGTGTCTCTCCTCTTCTCTCTCTCTCTACTTTCTCTCTCTGCTCGTTCTCCCCTTTCTCTCTTCCCGGCCGGCTCCCTCCCTCCCAAACTCTATCTCTCCCTCCCGCGGACGCTTCACGCATGACGATATTCTTTATTCTTCTCTCGTGAGTACTTCTAATTTCTCTTTCTTTACGATTCTTTTCTTTCTGCCGGGGATTCTTCTCTCTTGACTCGATCTCAGCTTATTTACTCATAAATCCACCTCCCTTCTCCCCCTCTCTCTTTTCTCATTCTCCCTTCTTCTTCTCTCTCTCTCTCTCTCCTCTCTTCTCTCTCGCTCGTTTCGCATCGCGCGCCTCCACTCTTATCTCTCTCCTGCCACCTCTGCTCTCTATCCCGCTTATTCTCTCGCTCTCTCTGACGCGCTATCTCCCTTCTCTTCTCTTCTCGTCTCTCTCTCTGTCTCTCTTCCCTTCTCCTACGTGCCGTACTCTACCTCTCTCCTAGAACAGAGCTCGTCTTTGTAATGTTTGCAGATCAGTCCCCGTCATACTCTGCGCAGAATAATACATGGAATGAGAATCCTAGCTCACTCTCGCTGCTTGGATCTCTCACGCCGATTGAGGACAGATACTTCTGGTCTACTTTGTTCTCTTGCAGCTAATCTTACGTTAATAGTGAGGAGTCGTGCTCGTGATGGAGAACTGTCGAGCTTCCGCGTGCGAGTGCGGTGCGCGGCGCGCGAAGAGTAGAGCGGGTGCGGATGCCTAGTGTGGTGCTATTCCGGTCAACACCATCCAGCTGCCGCTCTTAGTGACGTAATTGTTGTTGTAGTATACAAGTACCCATTAGGTTTTGCTAGGTCTAGCGCATTGCTGGCGGGATAAAGTAGTGAGGCCGTAAGATGTGTAGTGGGGACGCGGCAACAGCTATGCAGCAGCCCAGCAGTTGGTTGAGCGGCCTGAAAAGCTATTTTTGTCTCCATTGTTGTGTATGTGACGGTAGGTGTGTTGTAGTGTGGGTGTGCAGCGAGCATCAGCGGGTGGTGGTGGTTGAGGTCGAGTTTGTGCCGGAGTAGGAGCAAGTGGGAGCAGCAGTAGCAGCGCGAGCAGTCCGCAAAAAAACCCAGCAGTAGTAGCGAGCGCAGCCAGCACTAGTAGCCAGCCGAGTTCGCAGCAGTTAGTGCGCGCTCAGCAGTCAGCTGTGAGCCAGCTTAGCAATGAGTGTAGCGGAGTAACAGTAACAGTAGCCTAGCAGAAACAGCACTAGTGGTAGCAGCAGGCACCAGCTTAAGCATACGTAACTCGTTGGCTCAGCAGCAACAACAGCTATCGCGTGCTCGTTGCCGGGGATCGAGCAGACAACCGCTGCGTCAGCCTGTCGCGTGGTCACGGGCTTCGTTCGACTGTCGTGGTTCGCGTCCGTGCGTGCGTTGGGAGTGAGCTGTATCAACAGCTGTGGTGGTTGAGCAGCAGCTCTGCAGTGGGCCAGTGTGTGTATGGTGTGTTTGTGGTGTGTGTGGTGTATTGTGTGTTTGAGCTGTGAACATGCGTGTAGCTGTTTGCGAATGCGGCGTGCCTGCGTCGCCGGTAGCCTGACGTGCGTCGCGTCGTTAGGTGGCGTGCCTGCGATGGCGGCTCGCAACAACGCTCGCAGTACCATAACAGCAGCAGCCTAGAGTTAGCGAGCGCCAGTCAGTCCTAAGCCCCCGAGCCTCTGGCGAGTCAGTAGCGAGTAGCGCGCGCTTGTATATCCTCCCGTAAGGACAACTAGTCCATTACAAAATCAATCGGGCTAGTCACAGCGTCTCATCATTTAATTATTAGATTTAGTAATCCTTAATTACCTTGCTTAATTAATTACATATGAGTCGCACCGCCAATCTCGTCACATGTGGTCGGTGGGCCTTGCTTACCTACCTATGGGACTGAATCAACGGTAAATAATAAGCGCATTCTTTAAGCCAGCGAAGTAGCAGCAATTGTTTGAGCGCAGTAGCTAGCAGTTAGCAGCAGTCAGCATTGCAGTCAGCGCAGCCCGGGGCGTGCAGTGAGTAGCAAGCAGTAGCAGCCAGTAGCGGAGGTAGTCGCAGTAGCAGCAGTCAGCAGCAGTAGCAGCAGTCAGCGAGGGTAGCGAGCTCAGTTAGCAGCAGAGTATAGCGAGCAGTAGTAGTAGCAGTAGTTAGCTAGCTAGTATGGTAGCACCAGAGAGAGAGGAGAGAGGAGAGAGAGAGAGAGAGCAGGCATGATGATGAGAGAGACGGAGGGAGAGACAGGTTGGAGGGTGATGGAAAACCAAACCGCGTGCTGATTTTTCCAACGAGAAATCGAAGAAGAGAAGAAGAGAAGAAGTAAGAAGGTATGCCTTTGTCATTCCCTCACTCACGTCTCTCTCTCTGATCTCGTCGTGCCATTCTGTACTCTCTCTTTCTTCCCTCTGCTCCAGACCGACTGGCTCCCCCTTATCACGTCCTTACCTGTCTATTCTCTTCCTCCGTATGGCTTTGCGACTTCTACATCTACCTCACGCTATACAAGAACAGTTGCTGAACCGTATGCTCGGACGCGAAAACAGTTGCCCATGCATTTCCACAGTTAAGTGCTCTTTCGTCGAGACGAGGGAGGGAGGTGAATTGGGGTGTAGACAGCAGGGAGAGGCGAATGGGAGAGAAAAGAGCGAGGGGAGCGAGGCCGGAGGGACGAGCAGACTCGATATTTCAATTGAGTGCATTTGAAGTTCGCCTTTCTCATGCCATCGAGTGACGAACCTTGGGTGGCATTACCACGCGAGCTGCTGAGCACGTCACAGCAAACACAGACAATACAGACACACACACTGACAACAACATACACCGGATACGCAACAAGCACGCGCACTGACACGCACGCAGCGACGACGGCACGACAGCACACACTAAGAATCACACACGATACGCGCGCGCAGTCCACACACACACACACACGGCACACGCAACGAACGAACGAACAGACGAAATGCAATGACACAGACACAAGGCATGCGGCGGCCCGCACGACTCACGAGAACATAACACACCAGACGACACACACACGCGAGACGCGCACACACCACTACACCACTACATCACTAGAACACACGACACCACACACACACACCACACACAGACTTATCATGCGTAGCGATCATCTGCTACTGTGTGGGTTAGTATGCTTGCGCTGCTGATGAGCCGATGTGTTAGC